AATTCATATTTGAACATTGCAACTATGCATTAACTCGCATATATTTAAGAAAAAAAAAAACGTTATTCAGTGAACATGGCGTTATGAATAGCAATTACTCTGCTGGCATATTTCATGATGCGCGCTAGCGCATCATGGAAAATATGCCAGCAGAGCTATCTACTCATAACGCCATGTTCACTGAATAATCGTTCTTTATTACTTATATTTGCATTCTTTGATTTTTTTTTTCAAGAATATCAGAGGAAATCCTGACTTACATAAGGACGCAGCTTCTTGTCTTCAGTAAAGAAAAACATACGGTTAAAATCAGTTAACCTGATTAATGCTCCTTTTCTCTAAAAAATCACAAACATATTTATAAAGTATTTCCCTCTCAAACACAGTTATCTGGATACAAGCATCGCCGTCATCACATTTTTGTTTGTTTTGATGCAGTTGTGACGTCATCGATCAACGTTATTAAAACCCTCTGAGAAAAATCAATAATTTAACTCTATGATGAAAAATGAGAATGCTTTTATAATGATTATTACACCAGAATGCTTTTCTATATTTTTTTTTTTAGTTTTTCTATTTATTTTTAATAGCTGAAATCATTCTTGAAATAGATATACTACCTAGTTAAAAAAATCTTTTCTTTCTGAATGTTATTACCCAAGTGTGAAGAGTTATCGTTCTTAGTTCAAATATGCATAATACAAAAACTTAAAAATATAGCAATTCTCTACAATTTTTAAAACGTTTTATTATTCAATTAAATACATCGACCAAAATTGAATTTTTAAAGATATAAATCAGCAATTTAAAATATTCTGGATTTTCTTTCTTTCTAAAGAATATTATTAAAGACTTATTTTTATTCCTCTTATGAAACATTTCATATATATACTTCTCAACACGTAATATAGGTATAGTGGGGATTGTTCTACACGATTAATTAAAATTAAAAACTGCTTTTATTTAGAAAGAAAACTATGTAACAAAACAACATGCGTACCCATCTATACAAGATCAAATGAAAAATTTGAGTGCAAATTTTATAATCCATTATGAATCAAACAGGGTGCTAGTGTTTTTTCACCGGGTATTTAACCGCATTAAATTTATTAGAGACAGTGATCAGGAAGGAGCACATTTCCAGCAAACCCATGACCATCATTCATTCTATGTCCATACACCAGTAGCCCAAACGGCACCCTGTCTACAGTACGTATACCCAACACTCCAGGTTTAATTTTCATCACATTAACACTATAGGTGTTTTCTTGCAGACCAACAGTCGAATCAAAAACTTTGTAAATTTCGTTAACTTTCGTACCATTTATTCTAAGATTTTGAAAAGATGAACTTGGAATCATAATAGAAATGTAATTGTTATCAAAGCCTTCAGGGATTACAACTAAATAATTATTCAGATATTGATGTATTCCAGGTATCGTTATCATATAAGGATCACCTTCATTGCTATCAGTCGGTATAGAAAAGCTAGTAACAAGAAGCTTGTTCTGCGACTCAATTACACCGACCTCATTACTTTTAACAATAAAGTCATGAAAGCCTTTTTCCTCAACTGTTGTAGTCGTTGAAATTTTTCCTACTCGGTATCTAATGTTATTGTTGAATGGGGAAACCATGCGGATTTGTAACCCTAATCTTTCGACAGTTGGAGAAACAATAAAGGAATTGTCAAGCCTATTTATAGGAGGGATCTGCTCGATAAGTTTACTACATGTTCCTAGGTATCCCAGTCGGTTGCACTTATTTCCCGAAAATACAGCCACTGGATATGACGCGTTAATAGTTGTTCCGGTTAGATCCACCTTGTGGACAACTTGGAATGTTCTAAGTCGATGCATCGTTAAATGCATCACATCTCCATTTTGATAAGTTCTTCCATCGTATTCAAATTTCCTGTCGACATCCATTTTGAAAGTGATGGAAACTTGTGTGTCATCTTTTGTTGCTGCGATAGCAAACTGCGCTGCAGAATCGAGACTATCATCAAAAGGTGTCGATGTAGAAATGATGTAGGAATTCGACAATTTTCTTAAAGGAAACACTAACGAACTTCCGGTAGAAATGGTATTTTCATCAAAAAGAAGAAGGGAAGATGCATCTGATGTTTTCAGCAAAATACCTTTGGGTTCCAATTTTAAAGATGACAGAATATAGCTCTTTGGAATAATCAATTTCGTCTGTTTCATATTTGAGTGGTAATCGTAAATATGAGATGCCGTTATATTTTCAGGGTCAAAAGAAGTTATTCCTAAATGAAAAGAGCTTTTGGAAGCGAGATATGCCGTCTTGTTTGCGAATTCAGCAAGTTTAATGTTTTCAGGGAAAAGTAGCACAAACATTTGCCCTTGTTCTGAAAGTGATATCATTAGATTCACGCAATTGAGTTAAGCAACGTACATGTATAGACGTTTATATGTAAAAAATACAATCTTTACCAATAGGGACTACAACTATCGCTCATTTATCTTAATAAACTGTGCACAAATTTTTATATGATACTGCAGAGGAATTTCTAAGATATACAATAAATTGTACAGTCGTTTGTTGAACGAGTTCGACTGAGACAGCCATTTTTCGTCACAAGTGACTTACATAGAGACGTCATTTTCACATTGTGACGTCACAAACAAGGATGAAAAAATTATTTGGTATATGCTTTTTATAGAACTTGTGTATGACTATGTGTGTACTGAATTTCAGTCTAATCTGAATTGTGAATTTGTAGATATAGAGATAGTTCGCGAACTTTTTGATCACCCCTCGTATTATACATTGTTTATCTAAAATTGAATAGGGTATGCCTTTGCGCCACAGATGTATTGTTTTGTTTTATAACGTTGGATGGAAAAAAACAATATTATGTCATAAGTGTACTAGCTTTAACAAGGCGTGGGTTCTAAGTCTGAATAAGAAGTAAGGACTTTCTCTACATGTGATATATAAATCTTATGGAGTTTTCTAAACTCATTTGCATAGAAACACCTATACCTAGCCTTATCTCACTTGCAAAAACACATATAAAGAACAAATAGCAAAATGTGCTAGTAATTTCTTTACAATTGAAAACTTATTATATATGTAATGTACAAATTCTTGTTTAAAAGATGATAGTATGATTTTTTTTCACCTTGCGAAGAATTTTTCATTGTACTCGGAACCAAACAAAGCTTTCTTGAATGAAAAGAGTTTGGTACTTCAATCGGTTTCCTTTTCGGATTTAATGATGGTTTTTCTACAACATGAATAAATAAACAATGTTGTAAATGTATTAAATGAATATGACTGTCGTCACGAAAAAAAGGCCCTTAAAGTCAAATTTTCATAAACTGACTATTTGGTAAATTTTGAAGCCTAAAACTCTCTGAATGCAAATATACATTGATTTTGAAAATATTTCACTTTTTCAGTATTTTATGAGCATTTTAGTAAAGCGGATCAAAACAACTTCGACGTTACTCACTGAAAACGTAATGACGTCGACTGCGTCTAATACAGTTTCCAAAACTTGTATTAAAATAACGCACTTTAAATAAACTCAATCGTTTTGAGAATTATAAACTTGAGAAAATGTTTATTTTTTTCTTCCAGGCGACTAGTATGTGACTATTCCAAAGGGATTTCGTATGTTATAACTATTTTCATATTATTTAAAGCATATATAGTAATATCGTAAAGGGGGGATGTGGGTCTAGACAAAATCTAGTAAAGGTTTATAATATATTCAGTATAGGAAAAATTAAACTTGTTTAAATCCATACAAATTATTCTTTTGATATAAAATAATCATACTCAATTTATAATATATAAAAAGCACTTGTAACACTTAAACATTAAAAGAAATAGAGAGAGAGAGAGTCCCAGAAGGACACCGCGCGCAAAACGGGACATCCCCTCGCAAAAAAGCACTTCGATCCCGATATTAAAAACTTTAAGAAAATAATTTTCTTATCAGTCATCAAAATTCATCATTCACTCACCATCACACACACACACGTAACTTTTTTCCCTATAACTGTTACGATAGGATCAAAACACCATATATTTTCTGTATCACCGAAAAATGAGATATAAATGAAGATACACCAAGATATGTAAAGTTGTTTTTAAAAATGGTTATTCCGATTATAAAAAAAATTATGAATGCATGAATTAAATTCATGTTCGCTACTTCCATGTAAGCGGATTCTTGAATATTTTGTTAAAAATGTTAAAAGCATCTCGTACAAATCATTTTCTTCGCCTGTCTTAGTTATGGTGTAAAAATATAATACAGAGGCAAATGATGTCAAAGGATTGTCTTGTGAATGGTTTTTATACCGTACCTTAAATTGAAACTTTCTTTGAACTTAAACCTAAAATAGAAATTGTCTTTTTACTTCTATTTTTTAAGCAAATCACATTAAAATCGGTCACAAATATTTCTGCACATTCACCTTTTATTTATTTCTTTTTTATTTTGAGGCACCTGAGCCCTGTTTCACTTGAACATAGCATTTGTATATTTTTTACGGCCAGGAAAAGGTAATCTTTTCATCTTCCTCCGTGACATTGGCTAATCTGACATCTAATAAAAGCTTTTCACATTTCGATGCGACTGTCTTAACCAATAATGAAATATTACGTCTAACACACGTTTATGTATTTTGTATGAGACGATGCGGTGAAGTTAAAATCTACCGCTCTAATCCATTTTTCTTAGTTATTAGTTCAAAACGTTAACACACATGTACTACTTTCTCGATATATCGAAATTAAAAAAATATATATATGACTCGATTTTGACTGTTCGCTACAACTCAGTGACGTAGCATCGTTTGAAAAGAGGGTGGGGCAGCCAGAATAAATATTCAATTTACCATTTAAAAAAAAAACAAAACAAAAAGTGGGCATTGTCCAAACTCAAATCCAATTTCGCCGTTTGGGGGGGGGGGGTGGGGTGGTGGTTTAAATCAGACTTTTTGCAGTATCAATTTTTCTTTATCAAACATAAAACACTGCCTTTTGTCCTATTGTGCACTAATTCGACTATGCTGCAACAAAAAGTGAGGGGGGGGGGGGCAACAGGACGTTCAATGTAACCCCCCTCCCCGATGCGTCTTGCATGCGCTGTAATGAAGACAGTATTTTTTTTTCAATACAGAAATATTTGAGTTTGTTTATTTATTCCTTTCCTTAGAGTCATTTTAGAATTATGATAAAAACTTCAGTATTTCGATTTCAACGGAAATTTAATAAATGTCGAGATATGCGGGGTATTTAGATAACATGTACATGTATCAGAGTTGAAGATTTCAACATGCATGTGTAAAACGAAACTTATTTACTTCATATCATGAATTCAATAGTCAGTGAAATATATTTCACGCCCAATAAAGTTTTGAACAATGAACATCACCAGTGCTAAAATTTATTTTTTCATCATTCTAAAATTTAGACTTCTTTGTTGTCTAAGGTTTGAAGTGGTTTATGATTTTAAACATTTTCATAACTTGGAAATAACACACATAACCACTTGTCACTTAGACTTTTTGCTCTATCAGTGATTCTCAAAAGATGTCACCACATATCTGACATTAGCCAGAAATTCATCAGTCTTTTCGCTAGCTGCAGAACTCTCCGAAGAAAATATTTTGACAGAGAACTACAGTGCTACCCATTGAAAAAAAACTGTTTATTTATTGCGCACAAAAAGTGCGCTGTTTCTCTATTTATTTCTCCATCTCAAAATATTACGAACTGTGTGTTCCTAACATATTATTTCACGTTTTTTTTTTTCTTTTTGCCATTTTCCAACACACTTCGTGCAGATGTCAACTACGAGAGTACTTTATAGAGGAGTAAGTTATTTCTTTTATATCAATCTTTTTCGCGATTTAGGTAAGATTTTGGAAGAATTAATCCAGAACTAAGCGCAACTATTTTGTGCGCAATAAATATACAGTTTTTACCACGGGTGGCACTGTAGCTCTCCGGTCTACCTTTTTTTTTGGGGGGGGGGGGGTACAATTCTTCAGCTATCTTTTCGCTTAATCTATAGTAGTTTTTTCTTGTTTATTAATATCCTCATTCATAATATCACTGTTGATGTTATATTGTTAATTTATTCACAATTGGGTATATTGTTGGAGGAAAGTCTACAATAGCTGTATTTTATTCCTAAACATATTTCAGTTCAGTTTCGAGTGGGATTTCATTCATTAATTTCATCGGAACAATATAAGAAAATTTAAACATGTATTTAATGGATCATTTTAAATTAGTTTTTGAAACAAAAATTTATTTTTAGCAAAATTTTCATGGCACCCCCATCCTCCGTATTCCCACCCCCTTTTTTTCCCTTAGCGTATTCTCTTAATGTTGATTAAGTACAGGATTATTCATTTTTGATGTAGAAGATTTAATTGGATCTCCCATTTCACCGGAATATATATCCAGTCAAAGATGGTTATGTTTTTTTTTAGTTTGGACTTTAGATAAACCGGTTATATCTTTTTACAATCGCAACTTCTCAGGCCTTTTCGACTAGCGGAAAAACGACCTCGAATGTATATGGTAGACGCCATGACAACCCTACCTTTTCACGATCTTTGATATAAATGCATGGGGACCTTTTATCTGTGGAATGTTGAGTTTAACTTTATTTTATTACTTAGAATATACTATAGGGACTTCTAAATCCGTCTATCCTGTAATTGAATAAACAGGAAGATGTATAAATTTTTAACATCCGGTGATGTTAATACATTCGAGGTTGTTTTTCCGACCTCTGACGGAAAGATCCGAGATGATGCGATTGATCTTTTTATTCGGAGATATTTTTTGGCTTATCCCCCTTTTTTACATACATGTTAAAATCGACAGTTCACGCAATCGGGGTACATCAGTATGATTAACTATGGATTAAAATTAAAATGGCTAAATACATTTTAAATTATGGTATATATTTTTCAGAGAAAAAAAAGAAGCGCTTATAAGAACGGTAATACAATAAGTACATAGACCTCTCGCTCGCTCTTTCTCTCTCTGTCTTTCTCTCTCTCTCTCTGAAAAAGTACAATTATGACGTGTATGGAATACACCTTTTAATATCAAGACTTCTCAACATGAATTCAAATTTAAGCATTTGGAAATTTTTCAAGAACAAATAGGCAGCATCTTTAATTTAGTCACGAAAAGACCTAGCAAGGTACAAGTCCAATGTCGCGTATCAATCAACATCAAGTTAAATACGTGTACTGAAGCAGAATTATGAATAAATTCACGTATTAAATATAGTAATAATATCATACTATATACCTTTTAAAAATTTCCGCATCAAATTTCAAATTTTTGTTACACTTTGAAATCTAATTTTGTTTCTAGATCACGAAACGCAGTTGACATTTTTTTTTTACTTCCGTGTTTACAATACCGCAACTTTGACGTCGTTTTCTGAGCATTGTGACGTCAAAAGATAAGGGCCCTTTTCTCATGACGGCAGTCGTATGTAAGGACATATGCAAATATATATCATACTAGTATTAAAAATGTAAATTGACTGTTACATAAATGACTCAAAAACATTCGTTCTGATAAAATTTTCATTTTTTTTTCTTCCTTGTTCAATATAATACGAAAGAAAAATAAACTTCACTTCGGGTTACAAAATATCCGCACTATCCGTCTGTTGATATCAAGGTTAAGATATTTTGTCATATAAGATTTGTGTTTCGAATTTCTTGAAAAAATTGATTTTAACATTTTCAAAGACTAAAATAACCATCTCCTTTCTTATTTTGCATATAAATTGCTCTGATAAAAACATACCATCAAATTTAACTAATTTTTTTTTTATTTTGTGAATTTAAACCGAGATGAAATAACATTAAGATCGTTTTCAAAACAATAGCATTTTTTTCAAGATATACTACATGCATACATTATTTAAAACAAACGAAAAATTAGTTTTATCAAATGCTTACCTATATTCTGTACAACTATCACCACAACGAGACCTATAATAACGAAGGCAATTACGATCATTGTGGCTAACCATCGTTTCCTTATACAGTTTGCTGTTCTTTTATCTGTTTTATTCTTATTTCTTTCCTGTGACTTTATCTGATTCTGTTTTACTTTGCATATGTGATCTTTGTTTCGGTCATTTTTAGCCTCATTCTCAGATACCTCGTCCAGCTTTGAATAAGATTTTATTACATCATATTTCATAAATATTGCAAATATTGAAGGAATTGAAGTGGTAGGAAAAGTGTAACTTACTTCGTAGTAATGATGTGATGATATGCCAGGCACCAGAATTATCATAGAAGATAAAAGTACAGATAAGTAAAATGCATGTACTTAGACACCTAGACATATTATTTTTAAAGTTATTTTTCAATAAGTTAGCTAATTGATGTAGTGTAAAACCAAATCGAATTGTTGAGAAAGCCTTTGACAATTTTATTCGTGAAATACTTACTGGAGAATTGTATCCTTCTCCTGATGATGGCCGTTTTGGAAGATTAGGATGTCTTCTTTCTTTATTTTGCTGAATTAAAACAAACAAGACGAAAACTCGTCGATTGACATGGACTTATTTAACTTTAATCTGCACTTCCTTTTCAACAAGTATATTTTTGTAACATGTAAGTTATAATAATTGTTACTTTAAGACTGACTGTCCCACACATGTTCCTGTGAATTGAAGGGTAAGATAAAAGAGAGATACTGCCGCAAAAACAAAATTTTATAACCTGTTACTAGACAAATTTAGATAAATGTGCTGGCTTTCTCTGCTTTTATGATTATAAAATATGCAGCTATATCGCAAAATAACGAAGTTAAAAACAGTCAGCGTCTTTGTTTAAATATTGTTGCTAAATGTCACCAGCACAAACACTTCTTTTATTCGTTTTTTGTAATTAAGAATTTAGTATGCGAGCATTAAGATACATGAATGAAATTAATAGAAAGATCAAATCTTACCGAAGCCATGTTCTGTTGCGCTGTTCTAGGAAATTTGAGTCCAGTGTACATTTTGATGACGATAGTATTGTTCTCCCGCGTACATGGACCTATAAGTCAATTTTTTAAAGTTAATGCATTCAAATCATTTTTTATTATTTTAAAGATTTTTATATAATTTTTCATGAAAAATTACTTATCTGGGAAAACAAAGACAGATAACTCTAGTTTTTGAAACTTATTTTTTTACTATAAAAATCAACGGAAAACAGAAAAAAAATATTTCAATCCCCTAGGAAACAAATAATGGTCATATGGACTGTCATTTTACAAATTCATAGTAAAGTTTCTGTGTGTGTGTGTGTGAGGGTGTGTGTGTGTGTGTTTCACGGGGAAGGGCTGTTTGTAGACAAAAGTCGAAAAAGATTCTTTTTTCACCAATTTCAAAGCGATAAACAACTAAAACATTGTATTTTATTAAGATATAATTATACGTCGTTTCATTTATTTGCGTAAAACATAAGAGAAGATATAAGGAGCATTTAATCAAATCCAAGACTGTTTCAAAATATGGCTATGCTTAAAAGTCCTATTTCAATGGTAAATATCGTCGATCGCCCCTCCCCCTTCCATTTATTTCAAGAGCTGAAATAAGGGATTTTTTTTATTTATGGCTGGTATTAAAGTAATTATAATTAAGTAACTACGAATTGTTCTTTGTTTTTTATGGCCATATCGCAGTTAATATTGAATGAAATGGTGGCAAAATGTAAGCGGGAATCGAGAGCCATTGTGCGTAGTTCTTTTAAACATTTCTTACCTACGGATGCAATTTTAGGTAAATGGATACTTAACATATCAAAATGAAGATTCATCTAAATCAGTTGAAAAGAATACCAAAGAAGATGCTTAATATCCCTAATTTGTTTAACCAAGAATTCAAATGTATGATACATGTAACATCCTAAGGTTTTTCTTCTAATTATAAAATTGGATTAAATAAATGTTTTCATATTACAAATCTAAAATAAAAATTGACTTCTTGTATCTTTAATATTGATACGCCTTTTTATTTATGTTGTTTTAGTTTGTTATTATTGCGGTCGCATATATATAAAGTAAGCAAAATATGATCTTACCTCTGACCAAAGTAAAAAATGACAAATCGTCATCTACTGATATGTTTTAAGATTTTTTAAAAATATTTATTCGTTGATTACATGTACTTAAGATTTTGTCATGTCGATTTTTATCTAACACCATACTTAGTACCGGACAAATTTTCCTTCATCAGGAAATTTTAAAATGTCAAGAAGGAAATTTGAATTGCGTCTTAAATTTCCTTCTTAATGTTTTGAAGCATATTAAAGATATAAAAACACAGATTACGGACATTATTTTATTCTTACTGGCTCATGAGACATACACTAATTCATCTTGGGTATGTTGTTTTTCCAATCCAATTCGATGATTTTGATTCGTATAGAGACGTCATTGTTTTTCAGCACAACAACTTCAAATGAAGACCTTTATTCGCCATCCAGAACAGTTAAGCAGTGCTGTTAATGATTTTAACAAATCGGTTTGTGAAGATTTATCACATAAGACAATAATTTTCACTTCAAAGCGCCAAAACGTTGTCAAGGAAGCAATTGCTACCTATTTCTTATTGAATTAAATCATTTGCGGCTTGAGTTAGAACCCATGACCATTTTATCACTTAATGAATAGAAATATTTTAAATTTTCTCAAAATCTATATCTATAAACACGTGCTTGTCGAAATTTACATGTATAAGGGTATGGCTTTCAAAATGCAGATATGTACTAGGACCGTTCAAAAAATGCGTGGATTCTGCTACTATTTACTCTTCCAAACGTCGTATAGTTAAAAAAAAAATCACAGAAATATGTATCTTAAAAATTCTAATACATTTTTTGGCAAAATTTCTGTATTTGAAAAAAAAAATCTCCATAAATTACCGCTGTATTAATATTGCTGATGGAGAAGTATGGAGCTCGACAAAAAGATGAAACAAAAATACATGGAATCCAAAATTTAACTCATCAATTTTCTATAATATGCGATTTTTTTTCTTGTATATTATGTGTGACTTTTTGTCCGATTATGTTGTCATGTGCTTTTTTTCTGTACAACAAGTTCGCCTTATTTTGGAACGGCCCTCGTAAAGACTTTCGAAAGCATCAAAAGCGTTTTAACAATTGTTCACATTATTGTAAATCAGTTCTTCATTTATTTAAACTGATACTGTTTCTTTGATAAATATTTATGATAAATTATATTACAAACGTAAATTCAGTCATACAAACCATGAAACCCATTCAACGAAGACGAGTACTATTTGTTTGAATTTAACGCGGCATTATGACGCTCGATGACCTGGTGTTCACCACGCGTGTTGGTAAAACAAGGTAGACATATCCAGGTCACTGTAATTCTACATCTATTAATAGTTCTCTGCCTTAATACTTTATCAATCGAACCCTAATTTTCAAATGATGTTTCCTTTAGGTTCAGGCTTGAACCTGTTGTCGTTCCACCGGAAGGCTGGCTATTTCGTAATTGTAAGACAGAAAATTACCACAACACAGAAATCACGAATACAGAAACTCCCAACTGTGTTTGCCTACCCAAATTGACCAAAACTTCTGTCGAATGCCCTGCCACCTAGCGTTATAATGCCGCATTAAATTCACACAAGTTGCATTGGTCTTTGATGAATGCGCTTCAGGATTTCTATGACAGAGTTAATATTTTAATACAAGAAGCCAAGTTTTTTTTTTTTTATCAAATATACTATATCAATTCAGAAGAGACAAACACGAAATTCCAAAAACAAAGCAACAAAAAAGTAAGGACAAAATGAAGAATGAAATGAGTTCAAAGTAAAATGTAATCAAGACGAATATGAAAACAATGATTTAGCATAATTATACAAACGTTAAAACTAGATATAAAAATAAAACAAAAATAAAAACAAGAAAGCAGAATAAGAATAAAAGCTGGATAAATATACTTAGTGTCGTAATTCACTTCCATACTTCAGATGTATGATCACTGTGATCAAAGATTTTTTATGGATTGATTGATTGTATACTGTTTAACGTCCCTCTCCAGAATATTTCACTGATATGGAGAAGACGTCACCATTGCCGGTGAAGGGCTGCAAATTTAGGCCTATGCTCGGCACTAACTGCCTTTGACCAGGGATGGATCTTTATCGTGTCACACCTGCTGTGACACGGGGCCTCGGTTTATACGGTCTCATCCGAAGGACCGCCCCATTTAGTCGCCTTTTACGACAAGCAAGGGGGACTGAGGACCTATTCTAACCCGGATTCCCACGGGGTGATTTTTATGGAACACCTCTTCCATGATTTAAAAAAAGGACAAAAGAAACTTGAGTGCTAAGCAATTACATGTAGCTTCAATCTGCATTAAATTCAAGAGAGGCATCAACTTTCGTTGAATATTTTATTTCTATTTTCCCTGTGATTTAAACAGCTTTTCATTTATATTGTTAGATTGATATAATCTCAGTGTTGCATTTAAGAACATCACCGAGGATATTGATTTAAAACCTGTTTGTTAGGGGTATTATTTTTCTATAAATTTACATATGTAATGTAATCTTTATTTAAAAAAAAACTAGATCGAACCAATATACGAGGGTTGTCCGTAAAGTTCGTAGACAAGCTCAAATTTAAAGAAAGATGGTGTCATTGATATTTATAATTAACATATTTATAATCCTTTACTAAATTTTAATTACAAAATGTAAAATTATATTCAATTTCAAATAAATAATTACAATATTGACTTCATTATTAGACTTGGGATGATTACCCGGAGCACCGGAAAATTTTGATTAAAAAGTTATTTATCTCTTTATAAATTTCATTTGTATTTCGTGAAATTCTGCGGAAATTCAAATAGATTTTACATTATGAGGTTGACAAATGTTATAACTATAAACCTGCAGAATTGGAACTTTCAGAGTTCAGAAATGGCTGAGAAATCGAGGTTAGAATTTATTAAGACGGAATCGAAAAAGGTACGTTTTCGAAAGATGTGGATCATTAAGCAGTGATAAAATTCTGCGTAGACATGGAAAAAACACCAACAGAGACCCATCAATGTTGTAAACAGTCGGGAATATATAGTATAGAAAGCTGTTCTTAAGTATTAAGTTGAAAATACAATTTTCAGACAGAAAGAACAGTTTACAGGATAACATGCGAGAAGGAAGACCATCATTCCGAGATTGCAGTGCTGTAAAAAGTTAATTTCGTAACGTGATTTTGCCGTATTTCCGTAAATAAAGTCGTTTTTACGCGGACAGAGGTAGGATGATTGCAGGTAATTAGACAGGCATTGTTAAATGTTATTTTACGTATGAAACC